GAGAGAGAGAGAGAGAGAGAGAGAGAGAGAGAGAGAGAGAGAGAGAGAGAGAGAGAGAGAGAGTGACGCTCCTCTCTTCACTATCCACAATAGGAAAGTAAGGTGATCCACATTCTGACTGCCAGAAGATGGCGAGCATTCAGTGTTTTCCAAATGCACTTGCGCGTATGCTTTCTAGTTCCGTGGTTTCTTTCGTGAAAAGCGACGACCCTGGGTGTCTCGTTAGCCTTTCTTGAGCTCTGCCGAGGGTGGTGTGCCAAATTTCTCCCTTCTCCCTTCTCCCTCCTCGCTGCTCTTTCTGTTCCTTTTCAACCAGGGGCTTGGCTCATGTTGCCTGTTCTTTCATCGTAAACTCTGTGCAGATGAGAGGCTCCTATTTGTGCATTGTTCACCTCCGGTCCTTGTTCTCTTTCTCTCTCTCTCTCTGTGCGTTGTAACCGTCAGTGGGGCATGCTGGTATCGGCCAATTGGTCATTTGCCTCTCTCTCTCTCTCTCTCTCTCTCTCTCTCTCTCTCTCTCTTTCTCTGTCCACCGCTGTATCAGTTGCCCTCTCCTATCATTCGTTACTTCTGTACCGTGTTCTTTATCTCCTCATCGAATTGGTCATTTGCCTCTCTCTCTCTCTCTCTCTCTCTCTCTCTCTCTCTCTCTCTTTCTCTGTCCACCGCTGTATCAGTTGCCCTCTCCTATCATTCGTTACTTCTGTACCGTGTTCTTTATCTCCTCATCGAATTGGTCATTTGCCTCTCTCTCTCTCTCTCTCTCTCTCTCTCTCTCTCTCTCTCTCTCTCTCTCTCTTTTCGTATCTGAGCATGCTGGTATCGGCCACTCTCCTTTCACCTGTTAATTCTGCACCTTGTTCTTTATCTCCTCATCCAATTGGTTATATGCGTTTCTCTCTCTCGCCCTCTCTCTCTCTCTCTCTCTCTCTCTCGCCTTCTCTCTTTCTCTCTCTCTCTCTCTCTCTCTCTCTCAGCATCTAAGCAGGCGGGTACCTCTTTGAGGCTCTTTCCCGTTTGTTTCTCAGTCCTTTTCTCGAGCTTCATCTTGAATAAATTCTCTCTCCTTGTTACTCGTCTTGTAGATCGTTGTCGTCTGTGCCGCTCGAGATTGACCGAGCCCCGCACTTGCCACGTACCGTCTTCCCCCGAACACAACGCACCCTTATTTTGGCTGTATCTGGCCGGAAATATAGCTTGTATACGTTCATTTTTAGGGTGCGTTATGTTTGGGGGAAGACGGTAGGTAACATGTTCATTGGAGGAAAGCTTCTCCCTCTCTGATTGGCCGGTCTGCCATGCGTGCGCGCGTCCCTTCCTGGGTGTTAGCCTTCACCCATGTGCGGAAACACTCCACCTGCGACAACCCAACCCTTTTTGTTTACTCTCTATCTCTGTGCATCTTGCATTTTTATTGTTGCTTTGTTCTTTATCATGCAATCGAGGGACCCGTCGGTTCGTTCTCTCTCTCTCTCTGTGGCTCTCCCTCACTGAAACATTTCTTCTTGTCAATCAAATCCTCTCTCCTTAGTAGCATATGCAACACCTACCTCCTTTCAATCATCTATCCAATTCTCTTCGCCGGACTTTTGCCTTCCCTCGCTGTCGATGTTAGTGTCTCTCTCCCGCGCTCTCACCACGCCAACGTCTCCCATCTCGCTCCCTCACTACCTTTTCTCACCCTTGTCCCCCGCGCTCTCTCCCCCTTGTCTCATGCTTTCTCACCCTCTCTCACGCCCCTCTCTCGCCTTCTCCCGTGCTCTTCCAAGATCTCCTACCCGCTCTCACCCTTTAACCCTATCACTCCACTACCTTCTGGCCTTCTCGCCTGGTCCTTTCACCCTGTCACCCTGTCACTTGTCACCCTGTCACCCTGTCACCCTGTCACCCTGTCAACCTCACACCCTATCACCCTGTCCCCGTCGCTCCCTTTCCCCTCTTCCCCTGTCCCGCTGTCCCCCTCTCAGCTATTTCATATCCGACGGTCAGCAGCCTTCTTTTCTGCGATCGCTTCTGAAGTTCAAGTTGTACGTCCGATGTTAGTCCCAAGTTGTACGTCCGATGTTAGTCCCAAGTTGTACGGTCGTTTTGCTGTTTCATTCTGAGTATACCGAGTCACCAGCACGTGCCGTACATCCGCTTCTCCCGCAAGAGTGCCGTACATCCGCTTCTCCCGTAAGGCACTATTGGCGTGGATCGGATCTGCAAGTGGGTCCTGCAGAGGCTCCGCTTAGGAAACCGCATTGGATAGTTTCCTTCCGCTAGCGATACCTCCTTTATTCACTGTTTGAAGGCGGACCCATCGAGTGATGCGCATGCCATAGTCTCCTTACAAATTCATTCGTCTAGGTGGCTGGATAGGTAGATGCTCATAAGTATGCATTGAACGATTAAAAAAAGAGAGAGAGAGAGAGAGAGAGAGAGAGAGAGAGAGAGAGAGAGAGAGAGAGAGAGAGAGAGAGAGAGAGAGAGAGAGAGAGAGATGGAGATCTTGGCGGGGCGAGAGCGAGGGTGTGTGAGGGCGTCTGTATGTATTGAGAGGGGGATAAGGATAGGGGAGGGAGAGGGAGGAGGTAAAGGAAGTTGAGGAGAGGCGATGACGAGGGACAGATGAGGAGAAGACAAGGAGACAGGAGAGAGGGGTGGAGAAGGGAGGGAGTGAAGGAGACTTAAAGAAGGGGAGAGAGAGAGAGAGAGAGAGAGAGAGAGAGAGAGAGAGAGAGAGAGAGAGAGAGAGAGAGAGAGAGAGAGAGATCTTGGCGGAGCTGCATCTTCGATCTCCTTGTATGAGTACTACCCATGTCCATAGCCGTTGGCACACGTTGGTCAAAGATGTCTAAGATCAGCGATTACTGTAGTATATATCCTACAGTAATATGCTGGAACGTTGGGCATCATGACGGCCAAAGTTCAACACAGTACTTTAATCGCAGGTATGATGCTCATACGTGCCGTCGATAACGAAGATTTCATTACATCTGTCGCCCCGCTTTCCTCCTCCTTCTCATCCTACTTCCCGACATGGTTGTCTTCATAATCAACATTCTCACTGTTCGTAGTATATATGACATCGTCATTAACGACATTGTCATCCTCTTCGTTAGAATCGTTTCATGGTGACCGTCGTTAACATCAAAACATAGTACCGCCTTCATCATCATCCTCTGTAGCACGCAGTGTGGGGCCTATTTTTAGATCGTTTCACGCCGGGAGCCATGTTGTCTTCAGCTGAGACGCCTGGTCGTAGCTCTAGCCGGACAAGTCATCTCGATACTTCAGCATAAATCTCTTCCACCTCGTTCCCTTATACGTCTCAATCTGAACTGCTGTTTGCTCTCCTCCCCCGCCCCCCGGCCCCTTTTGCCTGGCTCTCTCCTCTTCGGGGCCGCAGGATTCGTCTTCAATCAATGATGGATGTGTCCGCCGGACCCTGTCGGAGCAGATGGGAGGCATGCCTGACGTGCGTGCTTCTGTAGATGCGTGTGTGCGTGTGTGCGTGTGTGCGTGTTTGTGTGTGAATGCGAGCCTGGGTGGTGTGTGTGTGTGTGTGTGTCTGTGTGTGTGTGTGTGTGTGTGTGTGTGTGTGTGTGTAGATGGGAGGCATGCCTGACGTACGTGCTTCTGTAGATGCGTGTGTGCGTGTGTGTGTGTTTGTGTGTGAATGCGAGCCTGGGTCTGTCTCTTATACACATCTAGATGTGTATAAGAGACAGGTGGAAGGAGTGGGGGTGAAATGATGAAAGAGTAAAACACAAGGGCATTGTTGCTAACGGTGTAAGTAGATTGGTAGCGGTTGAATGTATTTGCGCCTACTGAAGTTATATCTCTGATATGTGCGGGCGACGGGGTGCCCCGGGGGGGAACGAGGAAGATGGGGGGGGGGAAACAGNAGAGAGAGAGAGAGAGAGAGAGAGAGAGAGAGAGAGAGAGAGAGAGAGAGAACGGTCTTCTTGTAAGAGCGATCCGGGAATCATTTCCAAGAAATGTGCAGCCAGCCGGGAATTCGTCATTCGCTGACCGAGTTGGGGATTTTCCTCTCTTGCTCTCTTTCTCTCTTGCGTTAGCTTTCTTCTCTCTCTCCTGTTTTCCCTCTCTTTCTGCTCCTTTCCCCCTCGATCCCCCCTGTTCTCTTCTTCCTTGTCACCTTTCTTTGTGAAGCCTGCGTGGTTACACTCCGGATCTCCTTCCTCTTAATAGCGTTTATTGCCATACTTTCGGGTTCTTTAGAGCTTTTTCGGATATTCTTGTTATCAGCAAACCTACAGAAGTAGGGATGGGAAAAGGAAATGGAAAACCTATAGGTTGGATTGCTGTTTTTTCCCGAGGACAAATTAGTTTTGAAATGGAAATGGTTGATGGTGTTCGTTTGTCAAATGCCCAAGCAGCTGCTACTTTAGCTTCAACATAAATTGTGTGGATATACAACCCACGTCTGTGAACTCTTGTTGTGATTGCGAAAGAGCAGTTTTGCAAGCACTATCTGAAAAACGGCTTTCGGATGACAAGGTGGTTTCGTGCCTGGCTGATGAATCCTCTTACTCATTTGAGAGTTTTTCTCTTACCCACCATCGACACCAGCGCAAGTGAAGAATCCTCATCTTTCATGAGCAGTCGGTGTTTCCATAATACTTCCTGCCCTGCTCCTACCGTCCACAAGCGGTTATCGGGTAGCTGAAAATTCAGGAATGAAAATTCTGAAGTGAGCACCCGAATAGTGAACGACGCCTGGTCATTATTGAGGCGGCATCTGGACTGAAAAGTGCCCAATATACGGTTATAATGTCGGGCGTTCTATTCGAGTAAAGGCTGTAGTCATGGGCTTCCTCGTCGTCGTCGTCGTGACACGTCAAACGTCACTCTGATCATCGTCAGCATCAGTAATAGCAGCATTGCGATTCTTTTTTTTTTTTGTTTTGTTTTTGAAGTGTGGCCCGATGGACCACGGATCAGATATTAAAAAACTGATCAGAATAGATACTACACTTGATCTTAGCCGAAAGGCCGAGAAAGGTATATTGTGGTCTTTTCGATCGCAGTAATCACCGTTTTCTTGGTCCTCCTTTCCCTCCCCCCCCCTCCCCCTCTGATTTATCCTTGTCCTCTCTCTTATAATCTGGAGGTGTCTCTTTTAAGGCAGCCTGCCCTGAACGTGGGCCTACTGCAAGTTGCAGTTGAAAACCATATGCACTCGTATTGCAGGATGGGAGAGGGGTTTTTGAAAACGTGAAGAAGTCTCAGTGAAATTTGGTCAGAAGGGGAAAGTGAAGCTTTTGGAATCCTAACCCGGAAAAAAGAGAAGTACAACGCTAAAAGGGAAAAGAGAAGAAAGGAAAAAAGGAGAAGAAAACAATTAAGGAAAAGGGCATTACCCCACTTTTGCATACTTTCTTCTCCTTAGCCTACCCCACCGTCCCCCACTCCCCTTTCTCTGCTTTTGTACTTTCCTTTTTCATATGTGGTCCTACTGTCTTCACGGAAATAAAATAAAACGCCGCGGCATTACAGCCGTATTTGGGGCAACTTTCAGTCCTGATGCAGGCAGAGATAATGAGCGGACGTTCTGCTCGGTGAAGGCTGTAGTTGATAGGTAGCTGTGTTGCAGAAACTGCAAAACTGAAAAACTTCTAAAAATAGCATAGGAAAAACGACAAGACATAATGTAGAAGAGGGAGCGTTATCTTTTGCTTTCTTTCATCTTTATCCCTTCTTCTTTCGTTTGGCCTCTGTGGTCCTGCTGTGTTTTTTTTTTTTTTTTTTTTTTTTTTTTAATAATAACGGAATGTAGTGTTTCATTATCCCAACGAAAAGCAGGCCGGGAATCCCTCCACGAACAACCTCGGGGGCCTGAGGCCATTACCCAGCTTCGGCTTGTGCTGGAAACCGAGTCCAGCAGCCTGGTCGATAGCTCGGCGGCAGATAAAATGTGAAGCAAAACATCGGGAAAAAAAGGAAAAGATAGAAAGAACAAGAAAGAAAGTAGGACAAGGAGGTTATCTTTCACTTCCTTTCGTCTCCTTCCCCTTCATTTCTGTTTCTC